AAACATCGGGTGGTGACAATGTCACACTGCCTTAGAACTTCGATTAAGTAAAAACTTGTTGCAGGTGCTAGTTGATCATGTTGGTAGTGTAAATAAGCTTAAGAGTGTACAGAGAAGAGACAAGAGTAGAAGTCATAACGTATGTGTGAAGTATGATCTGCTAGTCTTATATATATATATATATATATATATATATATATATATATATATATATATATATATATAAAGATCTTATAACTAATTGTCGTAATATTTGGGAATGCTCCTTGATTTACGTTTGATCCGATATTTAAGAAGGATTTTAACGTTTATTTAATTTGACCACATGCCCTTTCCTTTGGTCCATGACTTTTAATCAAGTCTTTAATCATGTACATAATATCACAAGAATACGATGACAGTCCCAAGATATTGACTAATCCAAGATCTTGGCTACCCAGGATGTTAGTATAAGTTGATGTTGATAATAAATAAAGGTGAAAATTCTACCCATAATATATATATATATATATATATATATATATATATATATATATATATGTGTGTGTGTGTGTGTGTGTGTTTATCTCGATAACATGACCAGTCAATTAATAATTACATGTCCCAATTAATGATGCACCGACATATTACAAAATATGTCGGCAAGAAAAGTTTGTCAATAAGTTCACATGTTTATGTATATATTTTGGTTAATTCTATATGTACCCTCAAAATGCTTAATGTACCACCTACAAGGTCATAGTGAATGGGTATCCTAACTTTTTTCCAAGGTATCACCGCAACGGCTGAGCATGGGCCAGGTCGGGTCGGTTTTGACCTAAAACCGAATCCAAAACCGACAGCCTCTGTTTTGAAACTTTTAAGACCGAACCGAACGCAAACCCATCGGTTCGGTGTTTCGGTTTTCAATTTGTACTTGAGTTTCCCTGTTTTGTCTTTATCTAACCTCAAGTCTTGTTATATAAACATGAAGTTGAAGTATCTTTTGATACTTGAATCGATGTGGGAGTCAAAGTAGATATCGAATGAACCATGAGGATAACAAGTTTATATAATAGATGAAAATGACTGAGTTTACATGTGTTTGACGATGTGAGATAGAATAGTTGGGAAGATAAAAGAATAGAATAGTTGAAAAAATAAAAGAAAGATAAACAAATGATATGTAAAGAGCAAGAATCGATCCTAAGACTTTTGTTCAATAAGTCAACACCTTAACCAATAAACTAGCTATTTGTTTGTGTTTATAAGTGAAGGGATGTGCATATATACACTACAAAAAACAAAAATTTCCTAAAAAAATTACACTATCGAAAAAATTGTGGGGCATCCTAGGATACCTCTTGGATCCGCCCCTCTATTGGTGTTTTCTTTTGGTTAATAAGACAACCATGATAACTTTGTAGGACCTACGTAGAAAAGACAATTGCTAATGTACCATGTTAAAATATATAAATCGACCCATGAGTTGTCTCTTATTTTTGAACACTAGTTGTCTCGATGTAAATTTATATGCTTTTGATTATTTGGTAAAACTTCTTTTAGTTGATGTAATGATGTATTGATGTTTAATGTAATATAAACACCATATGATACACATGTAAAATGAGAACACTATAAAACTAAGTTAGATTCCCACTCTGGACGTTAATCTCATGGACAACATAACGTATGTTAAATCACAATGTCATTATAGTAAAAAAGGTGATACCTAAGCTTAAAACAAGACATTACTTATAGATTCTTACATTCTTATTGTTAGATCAAGTATGTAAGGTGACTGTCAAATGTCAATTATAATTATATGGATAATGCTATTAGAAAAACAAGCATTACTCCTTAACTAAGTATCATTTTATTTAATAATCATTTTATTTAATAATTATAAATTATGTTTAAAGTTATACGGTGAACTAATTATAACAGCTATTGACAAACATACTGAAAATTTTGCCATCTTATGTATTGTTATATGATAGTTGAAAATTATTATTTTCACTCGCATTGATTTGATTATTCTTTGTATTTTCAGATGATATAGGATGAGATTTGGAGGTATATGGTACTTCCTTGAGTCACATGATCTTATTTGAAGACTCTCTATTCCAAAGATGTCTCACGTGAATATATAAACCGATAAAGACACTCTAATAAAGTAAGTATGCGAAAAACATGGAGTTTATTGTACACATAATGTTTTATACATAAACTTTTTATTATTTCTATAAGCAAAATGGTTATTTACTTTTTTTCTAATCACACAAGTTAATATCTTCACTTATTCTCACGTCAACAAAATATTGCTAATGCACTGCGATTTTCTTCTACGAGAAAGACATTAAGACGAATTTGACGTAGACCGTCCAAAAAGTATGGTATACCCTAGTCTAAACTGCAAAAGACCTTTACGTGGTAGCCAAGGGCGTAGCTTTATAGGGGCAAGGGGGACTGCCCCCCCCCCCCCCCCCCCCCCCCCCCCCCCCCCCCCCCGATTATTTTTATTAGAAATAACCCCTCTACTTTAATTTTATACATTTTAGGCTCAAAAATATAAAATTTTGGCTATGGCTCCCCCCTGTTCACCGATTTTTATACATATTATATTTCCAGCCCCCCGAATCAAATGTTGAAGCTCCGCCCCTGGTGGTAGCTTGCATTTAACTTATAAAATTATAAACGATAACAAGGTAAAAAAACATTACAAAATGGAAGGATGTCTATTATTTCTAGAAAAAAAAAAGTCAGATAACATTTTTGGAGAAATAAAATTGTTTCTAATGGTTAAATGTGTAATTCTTTGTTATTTTTACATACAACCTCGTACTTCATATGTTTTGTTATGCCATCTTTTCGAGAAAGATCTAATCTATAGTTATTTAGTTATCATGATCGCAATTTTTTCATTCTATGATTTTTACGTACAAGAAGTTGCAAGCATGACCCACCACGAATCCATATACATACGTCATGATAACTTGTACGATATGTAAAAGTAACAATTGCAAAACGATACAAATTATTAACATATACAAAACTAAAGAAAAGCTGAAAAAAGAAAAAGAAAAAGAGAAAACAAAAGTAGTCAAATGAATGAATAATTGATGACGATTGTGGTAAAGTGAGAGTATACATTCTATCCACATCCAATGATCCAATATATGTCCATTCATCGGTCAATTGGCACTTGCTTTTGTGCCATGCAGCCATGGTCAAGTCCATCATGGCACATACTTCTAAAATTAAGCCAATTTTGTTGTTTGTTTGTTGCTCATATTTGCAACTTGGTCTCAGTTATCAAAATACAACATTTGATTTATATCATGTCGTATTGTATATGAGAATAAAAATATGATTTATGTTTACAAATAAATCGTAACTATTAAGGATAAATAACTAATATAATTAGATAGATAGCGGTTGGTATTTTATTTTGATTGTACTTCTTGCTTTATAGGAGGAGAAAAAGGATAAATCGATAGATGTTGATAACTACTACATTATTGATTGAACATTAAAATCCATATAATAAAAAAACGTGTTAAAGGTCTAGTTATATTATATTTTTATTATATATATATATATAATTTTTTTTTTGTTTTTTTAATATAAACTTGAAAATTTTACATTAAGGTGGGAAGCAAACAAACAATGAACTACACCATTAGTCTTTTGGATTCTAAAATTAGTTCTTTTAAAAATCATGTATATAGATCTTGGGCTTATAAAATTACCATGCATGTTGGACTCTAAAGAAGTTTTACATTATTTGGTGTAAGGAAATCAAAAGTATTAAATACAAATGGTATAATCATGTGTTGATTTTCCATACATGTTTTATCACTTTGTATAAAATATTTTTTTAAAGCAGCATACCCCACAGTAAAACCTTCACTCCCTAGGGGTAAACCCTTGGTAAATTCACACATGCGGGTTTCCATCATACCCATCCAAAAACTAAAATGACAGTGATCTAAATGTTGGCCTTCTTTTGCACGGGTTAGTCACAAAATTTACATGTGCCTCTTTCTTTGTAGAGACCCCGAAACGTCTAAATTTGTAAGAAAAAAAAGAACATCCCTTACCATATCATGTTAATACTTGAATCCCATGGAGATCTACAATGTACTATATGTTCCCCAAAAAAATCCAAACATACCTTACGACAAACTATGCATCATATTAACAAAAAATAATGGATTTATAAGGTGATACTTAAGGATGGTACGATGCTCGATAATGATATATGTTGGCCAAGACCATTTATTGGGATAGCCAAAAGAAAATCTTGAGCATGTGATGCTCGTAGACACTAAAAAGTTGTTTTATATCTAACAATCATGCATGTCAAAATATATATATTTCCATGTCTTGGACAATTTTTATTAAAATGGACATTCACCTACGCATGTTGGGCTTTAAAGGGTGTCCTTATTAGTGAAACCGCTAAACTTAAAGCTTAGAATCGTATCATGCAGATAAGCCAAAACACAAACATAATTAGAATACATACTTCATGGTATTACCGCCGTATGGAGCAACACCCGAAGAGCTTAACACTTTCAATATTGTTGTAAAATTCTCATCTACAACCTTATGAAGAAGACATTGTCAGACGTTGGTGTTGCCAATTGTTCTCTCGTCTTGAATGTTGTCTCCTCCTTGAACCAATAACCCTAATCTAGTATTGTCGAACAAAATTTTAACTAACGTGTCAATACCGTTCATGAAGTAAATGAGTTCATGATAAAATGAATAATCATTACATTTTAGTCACATTGTCATAATGTATATCTTTACATTTTACTATTAACAAATAATCTTTTATAGGAAAAAATCATAATTTAAATTATAATGATTTTTTAATCAGATAAAAAATCAATAAAAAGAGAAGGAAACAAAATAGTGAGTTGGGACTGGAGGCTAGGGTTTGTTCATAAACGCCCATCCAAAGATTTTTCAAAACTTTGCAAAAAGATGATTACGTTTTTGACTTTAGGAATCCCTAATTAAAAACCCAAATTTCACGATTAAACAAATTTAAACCCCAATCTCATTAGCAAATCGCCGTAACTTCCAAAAAGGAAATATCTTTCATTCTTTCTCATCTCCGTCCGCCTCCTTTTTAGTCTGTGCTAGCTATAAGGCATAAGCCCATCTCTCAAAATCTTACCCCGGAACCCAATATAATATTCAGTTCAAATCTGTTTCAATCGCACTTGTATCCTTTCATCTGAGTTTTCATTGATTTTGGATTTTGATTGAAAAACTCCTAAATACCATCGAACCGTTTTTACGATCATCATCGAGAATGAGGAAGAGGGAGAGAGAAAACCCATGTGGGATTTGTGGACACTACCACAAATACGAAGAGGGAGAAGTTTGTGGGATTTGTGGCCACCGTATGCCGGTCGGCCCTGAAAAAACTCTGATTCAAGTTAGCGCTTTTCCATCGGAAATCTTGCCGGAGTTGCTTTATCTTGGTAGCTACGACAACGCTTCTCGTTCGGAACTTCTCAAAACGCTCGGGATTTCTCGCGTTCTTAATGTACGCCCCTTCTCTATTTATCTCTTTGTATCAATTTCAATTTCAAGATTTGATTGGATGTGATTGATTAATTAATCCATGAGTTCTTAAATCAATCTAATGTGGTATCAGTTGTTCTTATCGATTCGTTTTTCCTTAGGCTCACTTGATCACTTTTTGGCTGCCCTTATCCGTTTTAAATATTGATCTTCAACAAGATTTTCTACCACTTGTTGAATAGCAACTGTAACATGATGTACTTTCAATTCTCCAACAAAATCTTTAGTACTTTTTAGTGGATTGTAATCATTTATTTGCATCAAGGACAAGAGACATAGGTCACACAACTAGATTTAAAGCCTGCTGTTTTCTCATTGGTGTAAAATTTTGAAGTATGAGTTCCCATTAACTTGTTAAGTTATCAGCATTAATAAAATAGAGATCTCTTTAATGTGGGCACAATCTTGCCCAAAGTTTATCAAAAAGATCTTTCTTTTTGTGTATGTTCTGTTTTTTTTTTTTTTACCAATATCTTATTGATACTTTGCCTGATCCCTCGTTTAAGTTTTGCAATTGAAATTGCACAAGATAACATACATTTTATTCAAGATTTTAAGTCAATGATGGAATGCTTACCTATTTTTGCAATAAAGTCGATCACTTATCAATCTGTGAATGCATAAATCGGTAAACTTTTAGTAACAAAATGAAACTTGGATGCATAAATTGGTAAGAAAGAAAGCCACTTCATTGCATAAACAAGTCATTAACATTTAACACTATCTATTAAAGACCTCTAATAATCATATGGTGATTTTTTTATAAAATGCAGACTGTTCCAGCTTGTCAGAATCTGTACAAAAATTCGTTTACTTATCATTGTCTTCCAGATAGCCCAACCATTGCATTTGATGATGCAGTTGCTTTTCTAGGTATGTATCTTCTAATCCTATGTTACATTTTTATGTTTGTTACATTGTAAATATGATATTAAACTTGTTTTTACAGATCAATGTGAAAAGGATAAAGCTCGTGTTCTTGTCCACTGCATGTCAGGAAAAAACAGGTAATCTCTTTCTGCAAAATCACTATTATTTCGTGGTGTTTTTTTTACCAAATTAAAATTCATACAAAAACATGACTCATTTTTATTATCGTATCACTTCATATCTGACTAAATATCATTCTAATATAATAAATCACTCATATTATAATCCATGAAAAAACATTTTTGTATTTTTTTTTCACAGGTCACCTGCTGTTGTTATGGCATACTTAATGAAGAGCAGAAGGTGGACTCTTGACCAGAGCTACCAATGGGTCAAAGAACGCAGACCGTCTGTTGACTTACTTCCAGGTATGGTGGTGGTGGTGGTGGTGGAGGCGGCAGGTGGTGGTTGTTTTGCATTTAAATTGTTTTTTTTTTGTTCTGATGATGAATTTGTTTTGTGTAGCTGTTTTGCAGCAACTACAAGAGTACGCGCAGAAGATTCAGGCGGTTGTGGAGGGCGGTGTTGTTGCTCTGCCGCCAATCTCAGGTGGTGGTGCCGCCCCTTTCAGTTTTGGGTTTACAAATCCAGGCAACATTCCTCCGGCCTTTCCGGCATTCAACACCGCTGCAACCGCCTCCATTTTTGCCCGTGCAGACATTCCTCCACCAAATGAGTTCACTTTTGGAGCTGCTGCTGTTGAGAATACGCCTCCACAAAATCTAGGGCCAACTTCTGTGAATCCAAATGCTACTGACGTGTCAATGGATGGATCTTGAAATTGTTTTTTTTTTTTTGTTTTTTTTTTTGGTGGGTGTTTTAGGGTTTTTCTTGGATTTGGTTTATTTATGCAAATCTTATGAGAAGCCAAGAACGATGTGGTGAGTTTGATGATCATACGGGATGAAAAGGTTTGAATGTAAATGGTGAATGAAAGCTTTTGGCTTGTTAGACCTCACACCCTTACACGCTTTAAATTTTAATATTAGTAGGGTTACCCTCCCTTTCATTTTTTTTTAATTATATGCCACTATTTTACTGTTTTGGTATTTTTAGGCTGTGTTTTTTACATGAAATTAAACTGGACATGACAATCTTTATAGGGAAAGATGAGGGTATTTATGTCCTTTACATAGATGAGAGATTGAGTTCTTTTAGGCTGTGTTTTAGTCATGTTTGTTGGAAAGTTTTTGTTCTTGAGATTATTCTGGTCGAATAGAAGATGCTTTAATTTTAATTGGTGTATTTTAACAAAATTGTTCATCTATCGTATACGTAAATTCTTAGAATCGAGTCAACTGCATAATTTAGGTTCACGAGAAGTTCATAGATTTGGATGTGTATTAGATGATGTGTATTTTTTCAAATATATATCCTAGTGTATATATCTTCTAATTAACATTGCTTTGTTATGCCATTGATTTTTGATGTTTTTATTAGCATGATTTTGTTCCACAAGACTTGTTTTTTTCCCTAATAAGTTGCTTGAGAAACAAGTCTTTTGTTGGTCTTCATTTTTTTTTTTTCAATCTCTATTTTATGTCCACTTTCATTTGAATAAGTTAACGAGATTCTTCATACAATACCTATTATTTTCATCTTTGATTCTACTTTATTAAAAATACGGTATCAGAACAAAGGTTATAGGCCTTGTGTGTATCAAGGATATACACTGACCATGCCCAATTATAGGACTCAATCTATTTTATTTATAGCTAAAATTCATTCTATGTATAGCTCCTTAATTTGTGCATTCCTTGTTGTAAATTCCCTATATATGTACCATGTCAACCTATTCTAAAGCAATACAATAAATACTTTCATATGGTATCAATCAGAGCTAAATTTGCTTTAAGAAACCTGGATCATTCTTTCTTCTTTGGAACCATAATCTAGCAGCTCTCAATGGCACCATCAAACACCATCATTCAACTCACAACCACTAGTCATTTCCTGATCAAACTTACTGCTATGAATTTCCCGATATGGCACAAGCAAGTTCAATCAACCCTCATTGGGCTTGACCTAGAAGACTTCATCAGTGGCCAAAACAAACCGCCACCACAGAACCTCACTGACAAAGAAGCCACCAAAACCAATCTGGCATACACAATTAGGTATCGTCAAGACCACATCCCCTTCAATGCTATCCTTGGAAGCTGTTCCGATGCCATTAAGCCAATCCTCACATCCGCCTCTACTGCAAAGGAAGCCTAGGATCGACTCAACACGAGTTATGCCAACTAATCTCGATCTAGAATTATTTCACTAAAGTCAAAGCTTGCAAAGAATCCCACAGGAAGTCGCTCCATCACAAAATTCCTCAATCATATGAAACAAATTGTTGATGAATTAGCACTTGCTCAAAGCCCCATCGATGAAGAATACATCTTAGTTCACGTACTAGGCCACTCACAACCTCCTTAAAAGTCCGGGAAAACTCAATATCCTTTACATAACTAGTTGAAAAACTACTTAACTTTGAAAGATCATTAAAGAAATCGTCGTATATACTGTGGCACCCCTTGTTGTCACGACCAACTTCTCCCAATGCCAAACAAGTCAATTCAATAATCGCCCCCCGTCTAATTCTCAGTCCCGATCACATCATGTTGGTCGCTTCAATTCAGACAACCAATCACGCAACAACCGCTCGAACAATAACACTCAATACAGGAACAATTGCTCCAACTCTTACCCTCAATTTTGTGTTATTCCAAGTCATGAGGCTCATGATTGTATGAAACTTGCTCGTTTCTTGAAAGACAACAACATCACATGCACCAACCAGGGATGACAAAAATCCCCATACCCAACGGGGAACCCGAAACCCGCACCCGTTTTGACCGGGGAATCCCCAAGTTGACCGGGGATGGGGAATCCTCGAATAAAAAAGTGGGGATGGGGATACCCTTAGACCCCGACCCTGGACCCGACCCCAGTATATGTATATTAATATATACAAATAATACAAAACATATATTTATAGTATACTTTATAATATCTAAATGTTTATCCAAGTAACCAATGTCATTAGTCATTACTTGATTGAAATTGTACTTTTCCTTCTTCTTTTATCTAATTTAATCTCGTGTATAATTTTTTTTTCATTGGTGTGTCTATTTTACCTCAAATATCACTCTGATATATTTTTTTCTATTTGATTTTTCATGTATGTATTTAAATTTTGTAGAAAATTTGTTTATAGTTTTTATGCAATCTATGAATATTTTTATGTTTTTTAAAATATTTAAACTTATGTAGGTAAAATTGAAATTTAGATTTTTTTTCCTTACGTAAAGGTTTTCATATTAAAAGAGAAAAAGAAATTTCCGATTCCCCGCTGGGGATCCCCGGTCCCCGTTAGGGTGGGGATGAGGATTCATTTATATTCCCCGGTGGGGATGGGGATGGGGATGCGGATTGGAATGAGAATTTGGGGATGGGGATTGGGGTCCCCTATATTCCCCGCCCTTGTTGCCATCTCTAGCACCAACATCTCCGATCTGGTTGCAAATGCTTCCTCTTTGAGTTCACACTCCACTTCGATTAATGCACCTTGGATGTTTGACAGTTATGCCTCTCATCACCTAACATCATATTGATTTTCCTTTCACAAAGTCTCAGAATATGGTGCACCGGATGGAATCATTCTTGGCGATGCCAAACTTTGTCGTGCTAATCAAGTCTCTGTTGAATTTTTTTTCCCCTTGTATTTTCTTGTCAAGGATCTTTGCATGGGGGCGCCTCTCATGCAGGGAAAGAACATAAATGATGTCTATTATGCTAGTCGAGTTCTTCTTCCAAAACTAAATGTTGCCACTAAAGCAACACCTATTGATTATCAGCACACACTTGGACATCCACCCGTTCATGTTTTTCAACATCTTATTGAAGTTTTACGTCTTAATTTTTAAGTCATTATCTACAACCAAGTTTCATTGTGCTTCATGTTCTGTTAATAAAGCCATAAGCTACCCTTTGGCCTAAACTATTTTATTTCAAATAAACCATTGCAACTCATTTATTTTGATGTTTGGGGACTTGTTAAAATATCGATTGATGACTTTGCTTACTCTGTTGTGTTTGTGGATTACTACTCAAAACATATTTGGTTGTATTTTAAATATAATACTGATGTCTCCAAAATCATTAACTAATTTAATCTTCTCGTGGAAAAATATTTTAACTGTAACATCCCAAAAATTTCAATAATTTTAAACCTTTCAAAAGCAACCCCTTTATTAATAAAAGTGATTACAAACTATTACTTCCAAAATATTATTTTTAATCAGAGTCTCCCAAGTTCCAATCGGTAGTAAAACCAAGGATGTGTACGGTCGCGCCTTCGCCTTGCCACGATCCACTGAAGTACCTGAAACCATAAACCAAAACTGTAACCACGAAGCTTTGTGAGTTCCCTCAAAATACCAACACACAAACCAATAACGCGCATAAAATAACAGCATACTATGGGTCCAATAAACCATCGGGTTGGAATGCTAACATACTATAGGTCCAATAATGTAACATCCCAAAAATATGACCAAAAATTTTCATTTTTCATTCAAGTAGAAACGGTATTCCAAATCATTGTTTATACAACCCAAATAAAATAACTATCTCAAACGTCATAAAAATCAGAGTGTGTCCCATAAACAGAATCCACATGGTGTGTGAAATGCAGTCAACTCGAGCTCTCCCCCTTGCTACTGGAAGTACCTGAAACATAAACTGAAAACCGTAAGCACAAAGCTTAGTGAGTTCCCCGAAATACCACATACCATACATAACATGTAACGGGCCCCACCCAATGAGACACGGGCCCCGCTCACACTCGCATAACGGGCTCCACCCAATGAGATTTGGGCCCCGCCCACACTCATATAACGGGCCCCGCCCAATGAGATACGAGCTCCGCCTACACTGGCATAACGGGCCCCACCCAATATATACACAAGCACATACAAGTATCACACATACAACAAATATATTAACAGATCATAACATGGGTCGGCATTGGTGCCTTCGACCCGCTATAGTCGGTGAGGAAACCTACCTCGAAAAATGAAACGAATGATCCCTGACTACTTATCCTACGACTCCCCAAGCTATCAATTGCCAAATAAAAACCAATTACCAATTGGGATCTAAATCATAACCGAAAATCCCTACTTGGGGTAAAAAGACCATTTTACCCCTAACCTAGCTTGGTCCAAGAATGAAGCCCATAACCACAATCTAATGGGCCCAAAAGTCAAACAATCCATTAAGGCCCAAATATGGGCCCAATTCCTTCTCATGGGCCTTAGCCCAAGGCCCAATAATGTTACTGGCCCAAAAACTCCTAAAATCAGATGGCCCAACTAAACCCTAACCTTCTAAGCCCGAAAAGAGGCCCAAACCTAAGGCCTGACATCAAAATGCCATCAGACTGAGTACGTTGGGTGTACTCAGCTGGTACGCTAAGAGTATTGGCTCGAAGGCTTGTATGCTGCGCGCATAGGCTTGTACGCCCAACGTACTCTTCCAATTCAATAAACTTCTAGATTTAGCTCCTAACCCATTAAGACTTTGCTCCAGAATGTAGATCTTGTTGGATTAGTGTCTAAGTCCATAACTATATTTGGTATGTACTTGACCCGGTTGTGCATGGTCATTTTGGGTTGCCTTCACTAAAGCAACTTGATAGGATGATTTATGAAGAAAGAGGATTAATTATGATTTATTAATATATTATAAGAATAATATATTAAAGGAGAAATCATATTATTTATTTAATATTAGTCAATAATTAATGAGAATTAA